AAAGAAAAAAACAGTTGTCTCTATGCAAATATTTTTGAATATTATTCTCTAAAAGCTAAATAATTTAACTGCAGATGTAATCTGAAACTCTCACATAACCATATCACTTCAGGATTGAGAGCTCTGAAAAGCATGGCTATCACCCAGAGCAAAATTAGAAGAGCTAAGATATTGCATATTCCTGATAGTCAGGTAAATACATGGCAGAGATTCCACAGGGTGGAATTCTGCAACAGATGAACAGTGCCTGTGTCTGTACTGCACCAGTGAAGGAATGGACGTCTCAAATTATTTACAACTGTTGTAGGTCTGGAACTGGAAACTGTCTGCCCAAGCTCATATGAAGCTGACATTTATCATCTCAGGTGTAGCAGACTGAGACCCAAGCTGCAACAGCACTGTTCTGTGTGTGCATTCTGATCTTGCTATCATGTCAACATCTGTTATGTCATATATACGTATTGTATGTAGTATATAACTCAAATTCAAATAATCAAATATCAAGTGCCTGAAACATTTGAGGGGTTGTTTCTTTCTGAAGCTTTTAATCATTGAATATAATGTTGCTGTTCTCTTGATTTGTGCAAAACAAAATCATGAGAGGGACAGAGGAATTCTGAATCTAAAGATCTCTGTAAATGAAGACATAAAAATGAGGCCGGAAGGATGATCCTTAAGGAAAATTTCAGGAAAATAAATAGAGAAGGTATTGGAAATAAATAAATGAAGATAAACATACTGAAAACTGAATGCTAGTGTAAGTTTTGAAGTTCAGAACTCTGAACAGGGTAAATTTCAAAAAGTATCTGTTTGATTAAGTCAACTGTAGTGGAAAAAATATACGTTATGACACATCAGAAATGCCAAGCTAAGTACAATAGGAATAAAAATGGCAAGAAGCTTACTATTGTATACTTTGATTAACATTGCTGTTTTTTTTTTTGTATTTACTTACATTACACATACAAAATAATCTAATATTATTTTGTAATAGAGGCAATTCAGTTAACATATGAGAAAGGTACAAGCAAGCAGAAAAAGTAATGCTTGACAGTATGACAGGCAGCAGTCTTGAGACACAAGATACTTAAACTCTGTCAGCGTTTTGTAGGTGTCACTGACGACAATTTTAAAGGCAATCTGTGACTTTTGCAGGTATTTATGGGTGGGTTACACTGCAAGTGGGAATGGAATGTTTGGGAGTGCTAGGTCATGAATTGAGGGATTCAGGGAGGGGGGTGATTGCATGTGTAGTAGGAAAGAAAGACGTCTATACTGTGCAACTTGAGAGGAGAGTGACAGACAGGTTTTCGCTGTCACTTCTAAAGACTTACAACCCCTGGCCAATGCATCTCAAATGTACAATGTCACTAGGCATACTTCTCAGGTTAGCCCATGTGATGGGTACTCAGTCTGAACACCTACATTAACCCCATTTACAGCATCTCACTGGTAAGCAGTATTTATGTCATGACATCATTGCTAGTTTCATAGCAATCCAGGGTTATTTCTGGGAATATCTCTATTTTTTTATGCTGTAACACTGTGTTGTTAATTGTTTTTGTTGTTGTTTGTCTTTTTTTTTTGTTTGTTTTTGTTTTTTTGAATTTTGTTTTTTCTTCTGTTAACTGCATTGAAAGGGACATTCCCTCTTGGGAATGTACAAAGGTACAGGTTTTCATAGGACCACTATATCAAGATGAGTTAATTTCTGCCTGGATTCATGTGGACATTCATTCCTAGTGTTCCCTAGCTCATTTGTAGCCAAATTACATACATTCTTCCTCTCTGCTTTCAGGTCAAATATTTTCCTTCCTGATGGCTGTTCTCCAGTTTTTCTTTCCTGGGCAGCCACAAGACCTTCCCACTCAGCACCCTTTAGCAGGGAACCAGCCTCAAGCTCTGCTGACAGTATGCCCTCCCTGTCCCCTACTGCCACCTACTCCACAAGGTGCCCAGAATTTAACCTCTGAGCATAGCCTACATTTCCATGGGTTCTCACCCTGCAGGGGAGCTTGGGAACCTGTGAGCACCAGCTAATGATGTTTAGACAGTCTGGGAATATGTCAAGTGCAAAGAATGTTTAGTGCAGTGCAAAGCTCCACATGCACAGTATGGACATACAGTCCTCAAAAAAGAGGGTAGGGCTTCCCAACAGAGCTTTGTAAATTTACCCACAACATTCAAAAAAAAAGTTAAAGGAATTTACAATGAAGACAACTTAATTGTCATTATTTTTTGAGTCTAATCCTACTAATGAAACAGACACAAAATAGAAAATACTTTAAACTGTGAGCTCTTTTTATCTGTGATGCTAATAGGGACACATTGTACACTTCAGTTTTTTTCCAGTCGTTTGCTCCTAGATAAGCAGTCTGCTATTACTCTCTGGTGGCCCTGTCTTCAGGGACTATTTCTGTCCGGCACTTGGGAGAGTGCATTATGAGATGTCAGCATGTGTGAGCAGAGATAGTATGGCTTGTCATGTACAGATAGGCCATATTCTGCTATAAAATGATGGCTTTGTCTTTTATCACTGTCACAGTCTTACTTAACAAGCTGTGACTCTGTGGTTCGTCACGAAGAAAGCTGTCATCCCAAGATACGTGCCTTGAATGTCCTTTCATCTTCTGCGCAGGTAGAATCTGCCGTGTGACATCAAGCAGAACAGTAACTCCAGATGGACTCCACCAGTGCAGCACTATATTAACAAAGGGCTCTGCTGGCACAGAGCCAGGCTTTGCACCTTAGATTAGATTACAGGGATGAGGAAAACATATGTAAGCTTTTAAACAAAGCAAGACCAAGTAACATGTCATAAATATAATTAGAAAAGGAAATGTTAGTAATCCATTGTGTTTAAGTGATAATTTATTTATCGTAGTGTTATTCTGAGCAACGGATAAATCAATTAGAGTTGCTTTGGAAAGCAAATAAATAGTGTTGGTCCAACAGAGTGATGACAGACAAAGTGTTTTGAGAAACCCAAAAGTTCTGTAGCTGTATTTCTCCACATAGTTATGTTTAGGTTAAAATCTCCATGACTGCCGGCCTTCAATAGCGATTCTCCTAGATCTTAGTGCTTACATTCCTAAGGTCACTGAACAAAGAAACATTGTCCACTGCTAGGATCAGAGACAAACGCATCAAGAGAGAAGCCCTCAGCATTTCCAGAGGGCATATACATTAAATAGGTATACAGGGTGTTCAGAGAGTGCTTTGCACCAGAGCCTGCAGGTCAAAATTTTTCTGGCAGAGGAATAAAGACCTATTCTGCTCACTTCAGCATTTTGTATGGCCATGGGACATATTATACTGCCAGAGTTGTGATTCTGCAGATCAGATTAAGTACTTTGTGGACATTAAAGTATGAATATTTCATGTGAGCTTTTACAGAGCTGAATTTAAACTAAGGTGCTGAAGTACTTCTCCGCATTTCTCTTTCCTTGGGTTTTTGTATTTTTAAACTTGCCTTCCCTTGCATAAAGTCAGTCTTCCATTGGGCTGTTTTTTAATTGTGTAAATGGGAAAATCAGAAATATTAATCCTCACGAGGTGTGGGCTTCCAACCCCAGTGCAGTAAAGAAAGGGGAAGGAGAAAGAGGCATTTGTCAGTTCGCAGACATCTTCTGAGGGTGTAATATTACAAGGAATAGTAGTTTGGGGAGTAGTATGTCCATTGATGGAAAAGTGCAGTATTCACATATAACAGCGCTGCCTGGAATTGAGGAATGCCAAGGAAACCTGTGTGGACATGTTACAGTAAATGTGTCTGCTTGGCTGTTGCTTAAAAATAGAAAAGAGGGTGTTGAGTACATAGAAACTGATGTTGATGAATTTCTGACCTCTTTATTTTGAAAAAGTGTCATCTCCTTCTGCCTGATTCTGAGCTTTCTCACCCCCACCAGTGCTTGACATTTGAAACAAAATATAACTCCTTGGAACTACAGTTACAGTCTTTCATCAGATAATATTTCTCAATTCAGGCTTCAGGCATGCTTCTCACTAGCTACCGCTTTTAGATATACTGAACATTGGTACCACTGAGCACAAATATGGACTGTACAGGTCATTTTGGCTCCTTATCTGTCATGGAAGGAGGGAAATGAGACAACTGTTTATTTTTTTCAGTCTAAAGTCTGTGCTCAGGTGAATGTGGGTGGGCAGTGAATCCAATTTTCCTATCTCAGATGTGCTCCCAGAGGGATACCTGGCTCTGAGGGTCCCATTCAATTTGCTCTTGTGCTTAAGGTAAGCCCCACTGTACATTCTGGATCACTTTGCCTCTCCCTGTTCAAAAATGCTTGTATTATATATATGCATTAAGAGACAGTTAAACTCCAAGACCAAGACCATATCTGCCTGTAGGAAAAGCACATCATCTAATATTAGGTAGCATAAATGATGAAATAACAGGTGGCTTTTTTCTTCACTTGCTACATGGTGAGATTCATTTGCAGCTTCATCCCCTTGGACCTTTGTACTTATTAAAGGCCCTACCTCTTGGGTTTACTTCTTATCCAAAAAAGATATTGTTTTCATCCTACATGCAGTCTGTCTCCCATAGAGATTATATGATAAAATTACATGGTTGTGAAAATCCATTGCAGTGACAAAAGGATGAGAACTCCTGCATCTTCCTGAAGAAAGTCTCAAGTAAGCCAATAAAAGAGCGTGATTTTGTCCTTTATGACAGGAATACCGTGGAATTTACACAGTTTATAGTGTAGTTGACTTCTGTAGCTGGCATTTTCTGATATGAAAGTCTACTGCCCCATAAAGGGAAGCCACTAGTGAATTTTGCAAGTTAGGTATTGTCTGGGGCTGCTGTATCACAGCCTGAACCTCTGATTGATCACCTGAGACGAGCAATGCGTCACGGGAGCACAGGTGAAGGCAATTCACCTGTGCTGCAGGAAGGGGTGGAGCCTGACTCCACCTCTCCCAGACCCACTTAAGAGCTGACTGCCAGTAGGGAAGGATCTCTTCTGGAGATCCATTCCACTGGAGTTTATTACACAAGCCCAGGATTGGGTGAGTGTCCTTCTTTCTTACTCTAGTATAGTAATTATATCAGCTAAGCTCCTAGATATACTATATCATCTGTATATTCATTGATTGTACAGGTATTGACTTTCCCTTTACAGTGCGGAGTAAAAAAGGCTAATCCACAGATAGTGGGTCATAGTAAGTGAAGGCCCATTTGAGACAATCAATGGAGAAGAGAGGTAAATCTTAACTCTTTCCCAGACATTTAGTTGATTTACTGACCCATCTTAGCCCAAGGTATTCTCCTAGAAGGAAACATTCAGCTGTTATTTCAAACACCAGCAAAAGCAGCTGGTGGTACTGCAGCCTGTTTCTGTAATAACTCAGGTGAGAGCCTAATGACTGGGTCACTTATTATGCATGCTGATTATTTTCCACATTCCATCTCAGAGGAGAATGTGTGCACAAATTTGTAGTAGGCAAAGTGTTGCTGCTGTTGCAATTCATGAGTTTTGGAGTTCAGAACTAAAATCTCTGTATGTACGCATTCACATTATTCAATCTATGTGATTCAATATTACACACCTTGAAGAACTCACTGAATATGTTTGTCTTGAAAAATGGTATACCATATTATTTATCATTTTTCTACCCTTTTCATATACTGCAGTAATTTAGTGTACACAAAGGCTTGAGGCTGTGGTAATCAAGGCAGAAAAAAAATGTTGATTTAGATACGCCATTAATAATCATACTGCTGTGAAGCAGAAGTCTTCACAGCGTAATGCTTTTTGAAAGTGATGATGCTACAACCTCATTTACCATATCCCCCTTTGTTTTTCAAAATGAGTAAAAAATTCTGTTTTATTCCATCTCTATGAAACCAAATGATAGACAACTTTTTCTTAGAATAAGCAAAAAAAAAAAAAAAATAGGCTATTTGCCTATTCTTCTTTAGACAATTTATGTAATAGTTCAAATCAGAGCATAAAGCAATATAAAAACAGCTGGTGGGAAACTTTACTTAACATTAGGCACTTTCAAGCCTGAGCTGTGTAATGCTCATGCCTTAATGCATCATATGCCTTTACTAATTTAAGCCTGTTTGTGCAAAAAGGGCTGTGTGGGGACACAAGTGGACAGCTTCTGTTAAGGAGTCATGCTGCAGTTAAAGGTCTGCCTGTGTTCACTGCATAATGCAGGCCGTTATTTTCACTTCCCTTTTTGTGTTGTTTAAAAAGTAATGCTAAAAACGTAGCAGTGGAAAACTGGTTTATGTTCACAAAATGGCTGTGCAAATAGAAGCATTGGGAAAGATATTATTCTCTTGGGTAGCTTTCTGAATTTTGATACTAGTGTCAGATTCTTGAGAAATTTTTTGACTTTTGGAGTTTAAAGAGAAAAGCAGTGGGAGACTTTGGGTTTCGGTTTGATTCTTTTCTTTATTGTGCCCTTTTTGAGCTCATTTCTTCCTTGGATATTGCTGCCCTTGAAATATGTTTACAATTTTAAGGTTCCTGAATAGGAAGTTAAGAAAATTTATTGTACAACTGACTTCAAATATTTCTAAAAGGTTGAGAAAAAACCTTGCTGTTGGTTTTCAATTATTTTCATTTCAAGTAGTATTGAATAGAATGTCAGCAGAAAAAAAAAGTAGACATCAGTGTGTAAACAATGACTTAGAAAGCAGGAACAGTATTTTATTCAGACACTAGTGCCTTGAATATAATCAGATGCAAGCAATATAGTTCACAATACAGGTTGATTATGTGTTTGAAAAATAGTATATATTTAATTGTGATGAGAAAGCTAACTTCCAGAAAATAAAAAGTAATCTGGATCACTTTTTCTAAAAGACAGCTATTGACATATTTCAAAAGGCATCAGTAGATGCATTCAAGTGATGTCTGTAACCAAGAAATTCCATCCGTGTTTAACCTTTACATTATCATCCAAGCTTTCCTTTCATCTGGCCATAGAGCCAGCTGAGATCCTGCCCTCATCTGCAGAAGTAAATAAAGACCTATCATATGCAAATATTGCGTATAAAAGTTGAAGGCCAAATAATGATGGTCTCAAGGTATGGATCCATGTATTGAGTGAATATTAATATTAAATCTCATTTATAATTTATCTGTATACTGCCATTTTATTTACCTATTGTATAAATAACTATTACAAATATATTTCTTTTTAAACAAGACATTTTGGAGTCAGTACAAACATAATAAATCTTTGTTATGTGGTCATATAGGCAGAAGTAGGGAAAAAAATCTGGCTTCCCAAAATAACTTTTTTTTTTATAGCGGAGTACTGAAATTTCATTTCAGGTAAAGGTAAGGAAAAAAAATTCTGGTTTCTAAAAATAATTTTCTGTTACAGCACAGCACTGAGAATCTATTCTGATGGCCCATTCCTCTTTTCTGTTTAGGATGCTGATGTTAGCTTAAAGCCAAATTAGGCAGCTGCCTCCAGACGCTACTCCCAGAAAGTTATTCCTCAGCATCTGAGAGGGCTTAGCAAAATGTATGACTTTAAACAATAGATGGGAGAGATTAACCTGCTTTGTATGTAAGAACAAAGTAATTCTGCAGCATGAATTTGGTGTGCATTGTTCTCCATTCCTATTAATCCACTGAGAAGCATTGGTTTATTTACTGGATCTCTACTTTCTGTTATTGTAAGGAGTACACTCTGCTAAAGCAAACTATTTTCTTCAGAGTCCACACCTGCATCTCTGTAACAAGTCTACATAAATAACTTTTAGTGTTTTCTATGCCTGAAAATGAAATTCCTCTTTCTAAAGACCACATGCACTGCATTTGAGCTGCTGTTCTTCATATGATTTTGGACCAGCTTAGTTGCTCTGGGCAATTGGTCCAGGCTGTGCTCAATGCCCTGTTGCTTCTCAGGTGTCAGACCTCACAGGGAGATGAAAAGCTGGTCTATAGGGCCAACCTGGGTTAAATTGGAGGTGAAGGACATGAGACTTATTAGCTGCAGCCCCCATGGCAAAATATTTCAGTGTGCATCTCAAGCAGAAAGTTTTAGGGGGAATGCAGTCTCCAAAGAAAGCGTGGGCCAGGGTTTCTATTTTGTCATCCTTGTAATCGATAGGTGGGTCAGTCGTCCTTGCACCCTCTAGTTTAGTTTAGGTCTCCTTCTAAGAGCCTTTAAGGTAGTAATTCAGGGAGGAAACCAGTCCTCCTTATCTGCAAAGAACTGGAGCCAGATGGGGCTATTTGTGAGGCAGTGGAACACAGGTGCTGGTCAGCTGCTGATTACTCAATAAATGCAGCACCTGATTTTATTTTGATTTAAGCCTTGATTATGGAGGTCCTTAAAGAGAAGGTAATGACAGGCTCCTAACAACATTTGTCATCAGTTCATATGCCTATAAAATCTGCATTGGAGTAAGCATGGTTCTTAAACTTGTACGACTGTAAATAAAAAGTATTTTGAAGTAAAAAGTATTTTAAATAAAAAGTTTTTTGCTTTTTTTTTTTGAGGTTTTCAGCTGCTGAAACCTTAAGTTTATTTTTTGGGAATGTTTTACAGGTGAATTCTGTGGCTGGATGCTATTTTTTCCCCCTGCTGTGTTCTTACTGCCTTGTACAGCAGCATGAGGTAGGAGATGAAGTTTAATCTATTGAGAGAACTGTTTCTTATTTCATATCATTATGACTCTGTAGCTTGAGCAAAAGGGATCTGTATATGCTACTTTAATCATTAAATTTGTAGCAAATCATTCCTCCAGTTCACATACATTTCTTTCATGTTTCCTGAGGCTTTAATAAGTGTGGTGTGTATAAGGAATTCTTTCAAGGCTAAGTGTAAACTTGATGGTGCTTCTCCAGCCTGTTCCTTAAGGAGAGTTCTCTGAGTTCACCTAACATAAAGAAAATTGATTGCCAAAGTCAAAGATAGAGAAAGGAAGAATAAAAAAAAAAAAAATCACAGATGGATGATGCCATAAATAGATAACACTGTAAATAATGAAGAACACTACTGCCAGCTCTTCGGAGACTTAGATCAGCTAACAATCAGTGAAGACAATGACAGTTCAATTCAGACAAATATAGAACAAAAAGGGCTTCTTACAGAGACGAGCTCCTGGCAGAAGTTTGATAAACTAATATGTAGGGTCTGATACAGAGCTGGTGAGGTGGGCGAGGTACAGCTCTTCCTGGCTGATCAGTTTCCCCATTCAGTATACTGACTGTTTAAAAAAAAAAAAACCCAATTCAGACTCAAAATTATCTGCTGCAAGCCAATGAGTATTTTTAAAGAAAGAATTAAGAAAAAAAATGACGTGGGGAGGAAAAATTGGTTGTAGTTACTTGACCTAGGACTTTTATTTCTACTTGGATCTTCTCATGGAGAAGGCTCTGCAGTGTGAGTTATTAACAGGTATCTAAATCTGGCCATATCTCAATCCTAGGTCCTAAGCCTTTGGCAGTTGGTAAAAGAAAGAGCTGAATTCTGTTGTAGTGAGTTTGATATGGATTTTGGCAAGGGGAGATACTCTGATAGTTCAGGCTGTTACAGACTCATGGCAGAGGAAAGAAACCTGGGGCATCTTGCACCTGACAAGCCCAATGCCATACCCTCCTGTAAAAAGTCACAATGTGATGGCAGTGATGAGAGTTGGTCTGTTTCAATTTTGCATCTTAATGGCTTTGTGATTCAAAAAAAGAAAAGAAGAAGAAAAAAACAATACCTAAAACCTTAATGTGGCACTCTTTTATTCCAGTGCATAGAAATAAAGGCTGCCTTTTTCACAGAATAACACTTCTCACTCACTTTACAGAAGTGAGAAAGATCATACAGGAACACAGGTACAGAAAAGGCTGATATCCAAAAGAATAGTGAAAGAGCAACAGAGTAATGCATTTAGTGGGGAAGAAATTAAGTGAACCCTGTTTAGAGCAATTTTCCAGTGCTGCTATGGGTGAACTCAGCAGGAGTGCAGCTCCCTGTGTTTCAGCTTTCAAACCTACAGGGTTTGAAAATACCTTCCCTTTCCTCCCCCCATCAACACACCAGAAAGCCCCTACATTTTTTGCTGGGCTGTGTTTCAGGAAACTGAGTCTGACTCCATGACAAAGATGAGCTGCTGTCAATATACCAAGATAACTTTTAAAGTCTTTGTCATGGAGTCAGACTGTTCATTACTTTCATCTGAATAGCACTGTTGGGTCAAGTTCCTCAAGTGCTGCTGAGTGTCTTAACTGCCTCTGAAATTATTTCCTACAGAAGAATGAAATGCCTTGTGTCACAGCCTTGATAAACTGAGTCCCAAGTATAGGAAATAGTCATTGTGAATTACCAATGACTCAAACTTTCTTACAGGACATCAATGAATTGGCTGTATTGGCCTGTAAACTGAAACCCATGTTTGTACAAGTAAAATAATTTAGGTACAAAGGGCTAGAGAATCTAGAACTCAACAGACAAGAGCCAGTCAGGTCATAGAAACTCTCTTGAGCCTGGAGGGCTAAAGATTTGGATTCAGTGATATGTCCTTGCAGTTTCCCTGGTGATTTTCCCTAAAGCTCTAGCTTCATGTGTCCCCTATGCCAGAAATAATACATCAGGATGTAAGAGGCCTTGTCTCCTGACAGTCCTCAGGAAAAGCTCTCTCAGAGAGCAAGGGGACAGAGCAAGCAAACACTAATGGATGACTTGGAAGAAACAAACAAGTAATAGCAGTCCCTAGCTGTCTAGATCAGCAGCTAGGACTGGTAACTAAAAATCCATACCAGAACTAAGTGTGAGCAATCTGTTATCAACAAAGAGTAAAATGAAATCCCGCTTCAGCTGACTGCAACTTCTGCCAGTCTTGTCTAGTGCTCTATTTATTGCTACAGACTGACAGGAGACATCATAAATGTATATTGGGAGTTCCTGAAAATAGTTACGATGTTTATTGATTTAATCCTCTAAGATAGTACTTCAAATAATGTTTGGGTTTCATAATGTATGTCTCATGGATCTCTACAAAGAGTTTTGAAACAAAGTCACTCAATCTAGAAGCTTTATATATGTATGTCTCCCTTTGGGGTAGGATTGATGCATGTAGTTTGAATAGTTATATTTTACTTCTTGTACACTAAAACTTTTGTTCACTTTTATTTATAACATGCCAACTGCCTTTAAAGAAATGATGGAGACTGAGTCAAAATTTAAGATTATCATTTTAGTGTGATTTCTAATTGGTGGCTTTTGTTGACTTTTTTTTAGCAAAAACATCAGTTATTGCAGTGATATAATGGTAATAATTCTAAACCAGGGAAAGTACAGGGTACTACATGTTGTACAAAAAATCCCTTTCAAATGGGAGAAGAATCTCCAAGTGATGACTGTGTCTATGTTACTTGGGGGACAGTGTGGTCTGTCCTCACCAGAACGTAATTCTTTAACTTTATAACCTTGTAAACATCAAATTGTTCTGTGTTCTTTGGTGTTTTATCAGTGTCTGAGAGTACCACAAATACATCTGAACTGCAGACTTGCAGCAATGTAATACAATTCTGTAGATTTTTTAATTTTCCCCATGAATGCTTAGTTTATGTAGTCCTTGTGCATGCTCCTGTGCCGTAGCCCTGAGCAGGGATATGGCTGCCTCTCCTATCCTCACTTAAAAGTGGGAACAGGGACTGGCTATGAAGGGGGGGCACATAGAAGGAAGATAAATGTACCAAGACAGTGGCTGTCTGTCCTGTTTTCATTAGTTTGACAGCTGTGTACTCTGACTAGGTAGAGTAATGCTAGTGTGGATTAAAAACTGTTGAGGCAAAAGTAGTGAGACTTTTACTACTTCTAGATTCCAGCTGAATCTGCTGCTTGTTGTCTTTGTGACCCTCAGAAACCTTTGGTAATCTTTATTGTAATTTTTCTGAGAACAGCCATCCTTTCCAACAGAATTCTGGCTATATTCCAAGTTATACATAGTTAAGTACTTCCTGCTATACTGGAGCTAGTTAATGTTTAGATGACAAAGTAGTTTGACTTCCTGAGTTGATATGAGCCATGTTCATACAGTGATTAACCAGGATGATAAACTTGTTACCTCTTAATGCTGCAATGACTGAAAAGATGGCTTACAATATTAAGATATTGGATCTTAATTACCAGTAACTAATTGAAGCTTTTGTGATTATAAAACAATTGAATACGTGAACACAAGACACCTTTTTAGCCTTACCACGAGGTTGCATCTGGGATAAGAATAGAGATATGCTGGAAAAGCCAGATGGTTTTCACATGAAAAAGAACCTGCTTCTCATCAGTATTGTGATTGTACTACGAATTAGAGAAGAATGAACAAGGCATAAATCAAGGAGGAATTTCCAGACCTAGGTTAGGATTAACAGATTCATTAAAATAACTTCAGGGACAGAGTTAAAAGTCACATTTATTAATGCTGACAATATGTATGTAGTCAATGATACAAAAGCCTACCCTTAAAACATGGTGCAGATGGATTTTATGTACCTAAAAAGTTGAGAAAACTCATAACTCTTACATGCTGTCTTGCTCTAGAAGTTCTCTGAATTCATTCTCATTCCCATCACTCTCCACCTGGTTTCTGCCTTAATTCCATAGCTACAAAAGCTAAGAGTGATGCCAAATAAAGCTAGTGAATGCCTCTGTGTGGCAAATGCTAAGACTCCAAATACACCATACGGTGGTTGCCTGCAGGGATTGAGAGTATTGATTTAAAAACAAACAAAAATAAGCCCAACCCACAACCAATTCAGCTCTCACTTTCTGTCTCAAATAAATAAAACCTAGGTGAATAGGTGTCAATGCCTAATTCTAGGTGTTGCTTATTGATTAGAAGGGCCGATGTAAATCTAGTTTGTTGTCTTGAGTCTTGTTCCTACTAAAAGTTTTGGCCAGGCAGAAAATAGAGTATTTGGCACCTCCTAAAATCTGAATGATAAGTGCAAGTATCTACGTCTGGAATTGGCCTTTCTGATTGAGTTGTGCTTCTGCACTGCCTGGATTTATTGTCTATGCATAGGTAGTGCAACTCTACACAGTACACTAATGCAGGATGTTTTATCTTGAAAATGAACAGAAACTCAACTCCTTTTGTTAACTTTAGATTTTAGGTTCGTCTCTAGAAGGCAAGAAGCTAGTACTTCATGAGAACATTTCTTGCTATTTTTCTTTTTTCTTATTTTTTTTCATTAATTTTTTTAGTTAAATTTCTTGACTTAAATAAAGTAATGAAGAACCAGATATTTTCCCAGGGTTATTTTTATTTTTATTTTTTTTTGTAATGTGCTGAAATAGAGATGTATTGTCCTAAATCTTGAAGAATCAGACAGTCTAAGTCATGTAACTTCTGGATGAAATTAATCTTTTTTTTTTTAATGCTGAATCTTAAATTTCTACATTTGGCTTTGGTGTTGTAGAAGATGTCTTCCCTGAGCAGCTTCTGCTGAAAGCTATGCAGCAGTTAGTAACAGAACTCGTCAACACCTTTTCTTGTGGAATTTCAAGTCTTCAGTCAAAAAACTAGGAATGCTAAAGCATTTCAAAGACAAATGTGCTAACATGGAGGAGGGCAGGGTTGTGGTTTTATTATTATTATTGTTAAAAAAAAAAATTAGAGG